GGCAGTTCTGAAGGCGAAAGGGGGTCAAACACCATATTAGTATGGTGTTCCTAATAATCCTTTAGGTGAGTGTATATATATATATTAGTACATATTAGTATGGTGTTCCTAATAATCCTTTAGGTGAGTGTATATATATATATATAATTTATTTATTATATACAAAAATATTTTGAAGAATCTAAGTTACAGTTCATGTGCTGTAAGGCAAGGTAAGCTGTGATGTTGTTTATATTTAGGTAATATCCTGATTTTTCAGTTCAAACTTAGTTTGCAGCTATATCTGATCATTATTAGATATTTGACTTGTGCTGTACGAAAGGAATGTCCTTTAATGTTAACATTTAGAGTAACTCATGAATCATAGGGGTGGCACAGTGCATAGTACTGTTGCTCCACACCTGTCAGACCAGGGTTTGAGTCTCTGTCATTGCTCCATGTGTGGGGAGTTTGTATGTTCTCCCCATGTTGTTGTAGGGTTCCCACCAGGGTTCTCGGTTCTTATCCCCCCCAGTCCAAAACATGCTGAGGTTAATTGGAGTTACCTAAGTGCTCATAAGTGTGCATGTGTGAGTAAGCCCTGTGATGGGTTGGCACCCCATCCTGGGTTGTGTTCTGGACCCTGTGAACCCGCATAGGATAAGTGGTTACAATGAATATATAGAACTCAAGACACGATTATTTTTATGTTGTGACATGTGGGCATATTTATGGTAAATTCCAGTATGTGACTAATTATACTACACTAAGTTAAATTGACTGTGTGCAAATCATAATGCATAGCTAACTTTAAAGAATACGTTTAGGAAGCTGTTAGCCAGCACTTAAAGTTTCAATGGTGGTCTTGCAAAACTAACCTAGTGTTACAGAATTTGTTTTAGGAGACTAGTTCCAATAAATGTATGCTTTACTGGGTTCAAATGGAGATAATGGTGACATTTGATTCATCCATCCATCCATCCATCACCATAACTGCTTAATCCCAACCAGGGTCACAAGGGTCACCAGAGCCTATCCTGGGAACAACGGGCACAGGCAGAAACCAAACCCCGGGCAGGTGCCAACGCACTCACACTATTACAGGGTCAACATAGATTTGATAATTAACCTACTGTGCACACTTTTGAACTGTGGGAGGAAACCCACACAAACACAGGGAGAGCATGCAAACTCCACGCAGAAAGGTCCTACGCTCGACCCGGGGACAAAACCCAGAACCTTCTTGCTGTGAGGCAGCAGTGCTAACCACTGTGCCACCGTGCTGCCCCATTTGATTCATTCATATATGAAATTCGTAGTAACAGCAAAATGCAGTAACAGAGGGAATTAGAAATAAATGTCTGCTTCTAATGCAAGTTTACCTCTAATAAAGGCCTGATACTTCTGTGGCTTCAGTAAATACAGGCCTGATACTTCTGCAGCTTTGGTAAATAAAAGCCTACCTCTAATACAAGCCTGCCTCAAATATAGGCCTGTTACTGCGGCATAGGTAAATAAAGGCCCTGGCCACTATTTGAGGAAATACGGTATACGCATTTAAATAAACACCTGTTATTTCTGCAGCTTTGGTACATAAAAGCCTACCTCTATTACAAGCCTGCCTCAAATAAATAAATGCCTGTTATTTCTGCAGCTTTGGTAAATAAAGCCCCCATACAATATTAATTTCATAGGCCAAAAGTGAGCTTTGACAGAAAAAAAAATAATAATAATAAAAAAAATATATATATATATAACAAAAAAAAGCAACACGACAGTGAAAATAATTTTCCACAGGAAATTTTACGAACAAAGGAAAAATGTTCCATTGTTGGTAAAACTGCCAGGTCTGATGCTTTTAATCATAGTGATGGTGAGTAGTGATCCTGGTAAATAGTGTCTATGGAAAAACAAGTGACATATGCAGTTGCTTATATAGTGTCTATAGAATATATTGTTAAGTAGACTTAAATTGACTTTATCTGCTACAGGCTTCACCGTATTTAGAGACTAAGCAATTAGACCAATTAGCAGTTGGTTGCTAAGTTCAAGCTTGCACTCCATTTCTCTACTGCAGTGCATAAAGAAAGTCATGGAGAAGAGACATCCACATTTTCACAACCTGACCAACCCAATGTACACGCCCATTCTGGCCTTGAAGTATGCAGATGACACAGGCGATCTCTCACTACATGCCTTCTACCACATGCTCTTCGACTTTGGCACGCTGATGCGCATCACCACAAGCATGATGAAGTGTCTGACCTGTGGCTGCCTGCGCAGTCGCACCATCTCGCCCGACTGAGAAGCTGTAAGAAGAACTGGTTTATATGCAGGAATTCTCTGTGACTGTAACCGTACATAAGTGTAGGTCCCTGGGTGGAGAAAGGTTTAGCACATGACTGAACCAAGACTCCTTTGGACTGTGTCACCCACAGGGTCAAAAAGGATACCACCTAGTGTCTTTTGGTTTTAGAGAACAAGCCAGGCTTTGTTGGTTTATCTACAGTTTGTAGAATTTTTCTATATAACTTTGTAACACAGAGATTCCAGTTTGCATGGCCAAGTGTAATCAAACAAGCGATAGTAATAGTAACCAGGAAACCACCCAGCCCTCATTTCCTATTGAGACATAAAGCCAAGACGCTAAACTGTGAGCAGTCAGGCTGCCACAAAGTAGGATGATGAAGGAACCAAGTCATTCATCACCATTGTCTGGTTCCTGACCTTTTCTGTTGTGGCTCCTGCCTGGCTGTGATCTATTGCCTTAGACTCTGTAAAAAAGGCTGGTATCACACACAAGTTAGAAGGAGACATAAGAGCATCTTCTGCACCAGAGAACATCATCTGGAAATAAACTCATTCCTTCCAAAGACATAGCTTCTGGTCTAGTTCATTGCTTTAAGGGTGAAACAATGGACTCTAACAAGTTGGTTTAACATTGCATCTGAACTAAGGATGCAGCTTCATTCTATCATAGGCAGGAGCAAAAACAAGAACAGTTTCTTACAGAAGCAAATATACATGTATATAGGCTTGTATACATGATCCAGTGCTATGAAAACAGCTTTTGTGGCCTGGCCTAATAATTTCGTTGTCTCTTTGGCTAAGTGTCCTTAACCAGTCCATTTAATTTTGCTAATGCTTTAAGTTGCAAGTGGTCATTTTTCATTCATTCATTAACCTTTATTTTATAAATGTGCAAAAGTAAGCCTTTGAAGCCCATGACAGATAAAAATTTATCTAGTTTCAAAGATTTCTGTAATGAATTTCAGTAATTCACTGCAGCAGCAGACTGGAATGATAACAGACCAGAGAAAGTACTAGATTTAGGAGGCTCTATTCTAATATAAGAGGAAGACTGTGTAATATATGTGGTCAAGGAGATTGTTTGTAATAACAGAGTTAGGTAAGGGGGTGAATAGCCAAGAATAGATTTATAGATAAGCTTAAACCAATTAATGTTACAACGAGTCTGCAAAGAGGACTGTTTGACTAAAGAATACAGAAGGCAATGGTGTGTATTAAAGGGGGCATTTGTAACAAATTGAATCATAGAATGATAGATTACATCAAATTTCCTAAATGTTCCTTTGCCAGCCATTCTAAAAATTGTGTCCACATAATCAAATAAGGGCAGTATGGTTATTTGAACAATCATACGTTTGGCAGCAGATGTAAAAGGGAATTGGTTTCTATATAAAAAGCCAAGTTGTGCCTTGATCTTAGACTGTAATATGTGATATGGCGAGAAAAGGACAGTGAACTGTATAACCAAATGCCTAAGTATTTATAAGCAGTAACCTTTTCAAGAATAATTCCATTTCTGATGGTAATGTGGTAAGTAGAGGGAAATACAGTACCTTTCTGATCAAACATCATAACTTTAGTCTTAACAGCATTTAATGATAAACTTAGGTTAGTAAATGCCTTCTCTACATCCAGAAAACTACCTGAAACTTTAGGGATTATCCTAAAGGACCAGAGGCATACAGAATTGTATCATCAGCATATAAATGAATTTGAGAAAAATGAACAACATTCAGAATTTCATAAATAAATATGGAAAAAAGAATTGGGCCCAAGTATTGAGCTCTGAGGAGCAGCTGACGATACATGAAGAGGCTCAGAAAGATGGTTGTCTAAAGTTACACGTTGAACCCTATTGGTGAGATAATTTGAAAACCAAGCCAATGATTGACCAGAGACTCCTATGCTATCCAGTCTTTTTAATAATAGCGCATGATCCACAATCAAACACTTTTGCAAAATAAATGTGTTGTTTAGCCTACAGTGCCTAACTAATGTCATTTAAAACCTGACTGGACACTAGATAGAACATTACATGCTTCAAGATAGCGAATTAGTTGCTTGTTTACCAGTTTGTCCGAAGTCTTAGAAATGCAAGGTAAAATAGATTAGCCTATAACACTTTGTCAGCTTGATTACCACCCTTAAAAAGAGGTCGAACAACGGCTCCTTCCAGTCAATTAATAGTTCAATCATGCGAACGGAAAGATTAAAAATGTCCGTTAGTGGACCTGCAATGATTGGAGCTGATATTTAAAAAAATAATGGAGAAAGTCTTTTTGGGGTCCAAAAGCAGTTCCTCTAAAACTTCTCTTTTTGCAATAGGATGAAAAGTAAAACTATGAGAGTCTAGACGCGAACATGTTGCAGGTTTTGAACAAGAGGCTTCACAAGGAGTATGAGTTAAATTAATTAGTGTTCAAACAGCTCTGTCTTAGACAAGTCGAATTAGTGGAGACAGATTTTGTAAAATGCGGATGAAAGGAATTTATTTTTATATAGCCAGGGATTGGACATAACTGGTACGCAAGTACGCATTCACCTCTAAAAGCGAACGAGGATTTTTCGGTCCACCTTAAATGCTGCGCAGCCAAATGCAATGACGCGATTGCGCCTGTAGGGGGACTCATATATTTAGCGAGGCTTACCTTAAGAACTTAATTTGGCTTTCGATTCGTATTAACTGAACACGATTCTACGGACTTGTTACCACTTTGAGGAAAGTACATATCTGGGCAGTGTCAGCAATTGTATGTATGTATTTTATCAGAAAATTAGACAAACGCAAACGTCTTTCCACTCGTAATCAGGCCCGGAAATATGCCCAATCAGGCTAATATGAACTTCTCAGTACACATCAGGTATCCCACTATATAGAAAAAGTGACATTGTCCTGGCCCAGACTGATTTCATACTTTAAAAATCAGATGGAAACATTGTCATACTATTGTGCACAATGGTGTGAATAAGAAGCAAGGTTTCCAGATTTTATTTGAGTAAAATCTGTGAAATCCCCATTGTGCACTATAGTGAAAGTGAGTGATTATTTGCCATTGTGAACACACCAAAGCACAGCACGCAGTGCACCACAACAAAACGTGACCTCTGCATTTGACCCATCCAGGAAGGAGCAGTGGACAGCTGACATGGCAGTGCCCGGGGAGCAGTGCTTGGGGACGGTACCTTGCTCAAGTATGACACTGTTTCCATCTGATTTTCAGTCTCGTTAAAAGCAATACGTGTGGCAATCGATTGTCCACTGAAATAAAGGTAGCTCATTATGAGAAATACCTTGGTGTGTATTTTAATGCTTCCATGTCCCACTCTCACCAGTGTGGAGAAGCAATAAAAAAGGCCAATAGGATGTTGGGTTACATCTCTAGGTGTGTGGAGTTTAAGTCAAGGAAGGTGATGCTACGATTATATAATTCCTTGGTAAGACCCCACCTAGAATATTGCGTGCACGTTTGGTCACCATACCTTAAGAAGGACATTGCTGCCTTAGAAAAGGTGCAATGTAGGGCTACAAGAATGATTCCTGGTCTTAGAGGAATGTCTTATGAGGAGAGGTTAGCTGAGCTGAATCTGTTTAGCCTTGAGCAAAGGAGACTAAGGGGGGACATGATCCAGCTAGGTATACATAAGATTCTGGATGCTGTTCAGCCAAATGGCTATTTCAATATTAGTTTAAATACTAGAACTCGTGGCCATAAGTGGAATTAGCGGGAGAACATTTTAAACTGAATTTGAGGAAGCACTTCTTTACACAGCATGTAGAGTATGGAATAGTCTTTCTGCTAGTTTAGCGCAAGCTAAAACCCTGTATTCCTTTAAATCAGAGCTATATAAGATTTTAACAACTCTGAGCTATTAGTTAAGTTCTTCCCAAACGAGCTTGATGGGCCGAATGATCTCCTCACGTTTGTGAATTTATGTTCTTATGTTGTAACAGCGTGAATGCGTACGTATTTTATGTGCATTAGTGCCGTCATGACAAGAAATTATCGTGCATTTTAATCTTTATATGCTAATTCGTACTTCATTTGCGGTATAGAGGTTAAATAGGCTATACATCAAATAAACAAATAAATAAACGAATTCACGTTTCGTTACAAAATGACTATGTAGAATTATATTAATAGTTGCCAAAAATATATGCCTTTCTCATGTTTAAAAAATTCCCTGTCTAAATCGTAATCCGTCACATTGACCTGCACTGCATCACGAAGCGATACTTGTTGGTTATAGCTAGGTAACTTGTCGGATTGCAGGTACCCTATTTTAAATGGATTTTATCTTCCTTCGCGTATACATTGAATGGACTACCTTGAATGCGACAAATTACCCGGCAAAGCAAGAAATCCTGCTTCGTGATACAGGTCATCAGTTTCCGTTTTGCATACTACACCTCGAGCATAGCGATATGTGGCTCGCACTTCACTCTTAATGCAATGACATGGCTTTGGAAGAAAAATTAGAAGTTCTGGTTGGTACCCTCCAGAACGATAGATGGCAGTATGCGCACTCTGTTTACATTTACAACACCGCAGCTGAGGAAGCCGAAGGAGTGGATGTGATGCAGGGACAGTCGCTGAGGTGACGTGTAACTTCTTACGGAAACAGGAAGTAACGAAGAACTAAAACGTTGAGCTGAATTCATAGCTAATTTTGAAGGGTAACATAGATCCGTTTAGAAGATAAAACGATGGTTAGGAGCGTCGTTTTATTGCTCGGTGTTCATGGATTAATACTCGCAGTGTGTGATGCCAGAATACACACACTTGACCTAAAGGTAAGTGCTGTTTTCCGCATTACACCTGCCGACGTTGCGTTTTCATTAATATTTCCTTCGTGTTTTGACTTGTTTACTTAAGTCGCTGGTAATACAGCATTGATGTGCAGGGTGTTGTTCTTCGTAGTTCAGAATAGGAATTTATATTGTGGGTAGTATCGCACATAAGAAGGTTTTGATGTCCTCCTTTGGCTACATAATCA